GTGAAGGAAAGAAGAAAAACCAAAAGGCACCCTTCCAAATGCCTCTTAAAGTAATTAGGCCTCCCTCCTTGTCCTCAGGGGAACCTGGAGCCCGTCCTGCCCTACTCCAGGCCATGATGATTCTCCGATTCATTGCACTTGCTCTGGTAACAGGTACAGTGGGGCTTAGAGGGAAGTGTGGGGCCTCCCTCTCCTATTTCTAAGTCTCTCCCTACAACTATGATGACACTTGCTTGGAGATCACCCCCATGAACTAGTCTAAGCTATACCAGGCATAATCAAGTGGATCTAACAGGAAGAATGAGGGGGGCTGGGTCCCCTCAAAATCTTAAGACAGCCACTACTGACCTGGAAGTATAGTCTTGTGCTAGCGCGTGCCAGCTGGGAATGAAAATACCTACCCTTTTGCTCCTCCCACTCTCATCTCTGGGGTCCCTCTACAAGCCTACCTCCTCTTAGTCTTGTATCTCATCTTTTGTCCCCTTCAGGGCATGTAGGGGGAGAGACCAGGATCATCAAGGGTTATGAGTGCAGTCCTCACTCCCAGCCATGGCAGGTGGCTCTCTTTCAGAAGTCGCGGCTTCTCTGTGGGGCAACCCTCATCGCTCCCAAATGGCTCCTGACAGCAGCCCACTGCCGCAAGCCGTGGGTGCGGGGGCTGGGGCGGGGCTGGGGCGGGGCTGGGAGGGGGCTGGAGATGGAGAGATGGATGGAGAGAGGGGCTGGGGCTAGAGAGACCATGTGAGGGTGGCAGCAGTGGGTGAAGGGACAGGGGATGGTATGGTGTTAGCATGAATGATCAAGATTGGAGAGGGTAAAATAGCATTCGTGTGTCTGGTTGAGGTCTCGCTGGTCTGAAGATGGAGGGGGGATGGAGTGGCTTTGGTGTGTGTGGTGAGGATCTAGTGGGGTTGATGATAAAGGAATGAGGTGGTCTTAGAATGGGTGATGGCCTTAGTCAGGATGAGGATGAAGCTGTGAGTTACGGTGGAGGTTGGACGGGTCTGGGTGTTCGCAAGGTACTATTCATCATCTCTCCCTCCCCGCCCCTGCCCTGTCCCCCTACCTTTCCACCTCTGACCACATCTTTCCTACCTCAGCCATTACATAGTCCTTCTTGGGGAGCACAATCTGGAGAAGACAGATGGCTGTGAACAGAAACGAATGGCCACTCAGTCCTTCCCCCACCCCGGCTTCAACAACAGCCTCCCCAACAAAGATCACCGGAATGACATAATGCTTGTGAAGATGTCGTCTCCAGCCGTCATTACCCAAGCTGTGCAACCACTCACCCTGTCCCCACTCTGCGTCACTGCAGGCACCAGCTGCCTCATTTCTGGATGGGGCACCACGTCCAGCCCCCAGTGTAGGGGCTCCTGAGGGAAACATGATCAGGGTGGGAGACGGGATGTGGGGAAGGGAGACCAGATCAATCTTCAGAGAGAAAGATCAGAGTCACTCAAGTGGCATGGTTACCTGGGGCTATCGGGAGAGGGATGAGCTAAAAGGAAGGTGAGAAATTCTGAGAGACTCACTTTTGGGCCTCAGGACTGAGACAGGTGTGAGAGAGGTGTGAGAGAGGTGTGAGACAGGTGTGATTCCCAAATCTAGTTGTGGGATCTAAAGCAGGTAGCTTTACCTCTCTGAAGTTTGGTTTTTTTTTCCTAAAAAGAATAATCGTGTCCACCTACCACAGTGGGGTCAGAGGTGACACATAGGGAGCAAGCAGTGGGAAGAATTTACTGATAGCATTCTTCTGGGTAAGGGCAAGGGTTGTCCCAGGTGCTAAAAAACCAGATGATCGCTGCTCATACCTTCACTGCTGTCCCCACAGTGCGCCTGCCTCATTCCTTGCGATGTGCCAACGTCTCCATCATCGAACACAGGGAGTGTGAGAGGGCCTACCCGGGCAACATCACAGACACCATGCTGTGCGCCAGTGTTCGGAAAGAGGGCAAGGACTCCTGTCAGGTCAGCAGGCAGGGGCTGGGTCTCCAGCTACATCTTTACTGACACCCCCAGCCCTGACCACAACCATATCCTCCCCTGTCTCCCCATGCTTACTCACATTTCCAACTCCGCCACCCATGAAGAACCTCTGGACCCTAATTCCATCTATATTCTCACCCAGAATCCCACCTTCACCTCCCAGCCTCTCACTGTCTCACCATCAACCTCTTCCTTCACCTGCTCTCCGCCCTCACCACTGTACTCACCCTGTCCCGAGCACCTCACTTGACTCTAACAGGTTGTGTCTCCTCTCGTGCCAGGGTGACTCTGGAGGCCCTCTGGTCTGTAACCAATCTCTTCAAGGCATCATCTCCTGGGGTCAGGACCCGTGTGCGGTCACCAGAAAGCCTGGTGTCTATACAAAAGTCTGCAAATACTTTGACTGGATCCACGAGGTTATGAAGAACAATTAGAGGGGACCTGCTTCCCACCACCCAGCCCCTCCAACCTCTTCTTAATGCTTTGACTTCTCTTCATTCTGCCCTAAGAAGTCCTCAGCGGGACCCTTGCATGTACTCTCTTTGACCTACCATGAGGATAGTGTAGGGATGCTCTAACTTAATGATCGACTTGCGGCCTGGAACCAAATCCTGACTTGAACTAAATTGTGACTCTGGATATGATCATCACTGGTTTTGTTTGTTTGGTTGGTTTTTGTTGTTTTGTTCCCAGCTTAGAAGACAGTCCCTGGCATATTCCAGGGTTCCAATAAATATTTGTTAAGTGATAAATTATTCTGTGAGTGCCGACTGCATATTAATCCTGATCCTGAGGGTGTTTAAATGCCGTAAGTGTATGAGAATTTGCCTGCATATTTGTTTGTCCGCCATATGCCTGCCTGGTGTCTGAGGAGTCCAGAGGAGGGCATCAGATCCCCCACCATCTTTGTGCTGGGAACCAGACTCTGGTCCTCAGCAAGAGCAGCAGGTCCTCTGAATGGCTGAGCATCTCTCTACCCCTCCCCCAAGATCTTTTAAATGTTATTGAATGCTCACAAGCCCAGAGGAGATTGGTCCTATTTTTCTATCCACTTTGCAGACATGAAAGTGGGCACAGACAGATGAAGACACATGCTCTCAGCTGACCTGAAAGACTCTGGGATTTAAAATCATCATAGATGACTCTTAGCCATCAATGCGATGTCCCATTAAAGCTTGGTTCATTTTCCGTTTATGTTACATTTAAAAAATTTTTAGTTTAGTTTTGTTTTCCATTTATTCGCTCATTCATTTTTTTAGGGGTGGGTAGGGAGGCCCATGCCATGGTGCACATGTGGAAGTCAGAGAGCAAATTGCAAGAGTTGGTTCTTTCATCATGTGGGGTCCAAGGATCAAACACAGGTTGTGTGGACAAGCACCCTTACCCACCAAGACATATTGTTGGCCAGGCAGAAAGAACTCACTCAGTCCATCTCTCTACATGAGAAACTGCACATGCAAAAGTGTGACTGCAGCGAGTGCATCCTATCGCATGGAGTAAGGGGTAGTAAAGGAGGCTACCCTCATTTTCCAACTGCCAGATTCATCCCCTGAGGTCAGTGCCGGCTGGTCTCTGCTAGCCAACATGAAGTCAAAGGACACAAAAGCAGAAAGGAAATTCCTGTCACCTTTAACACATTTTGAATGCTCTGTAGCTCCGAGTAGCTGGTGGCTGGTCTAATATAATCAACTGTAGCAAAAATCTGAACAAGGTTGAGGCAAGCAACTTCTAAAGTTAACACAGTTCTCGACAGACAAGATGCCTCAGATAACACAGACGTTCTGTTCAGCTCTTGGAGAGAGATCGCTGGAACTAGAGAGAACTGTCTCTAGTTGTTCCATGGACTTGCTTGCTGTGTGACCTCTTATGAGTCACAGCCCTCTCCGAGCCTCCCATTCCTCACCCAAAATGAGGGTGTCAGCCAAGGTGATGTGGCCTGTCCCTTGACGTGATTCATTAGCTCGTGTCACCTGAAGACACACAGGGAGGGTACGAGATGCTCATACACAGGCTTAGTGCAAAGCTGTAGCTTCCCACCCCCACCCTCTAAGCACATGCTGAAACACAAGGAGCCTACTGTTTCTTGGTTTAGACACTTGTGAGTTTGTCTGTGTCCTTCCCACTCTTTCCTTCTGCCTACTTGAACTCTGCCCACCTCCTTCTTCTTCCGCATTCTGGCACCTGTCAGCACATACCTCTCCCCCTCTCAACTACCCCTTGCCGTTGCTCACCATCTCATCACCCCAAGCTCCCAGAAGATGCAATCCCCCCATCTTTCCACCACACTTGGGAACACTTCTCAGAACAGGGCACGGGGAACCCCCAAGAAAGCCAGCTCCAAAAGGTATTCTTGTCACTGACAGAAGCCTGTATTCCAGGGCCCCTCCCAGAGCAGGAATCTGGGGCCCTGGTTGAATGCCAGCCCCACCCACGTTATAATTAGGGAGAGGGAAAGAGAGGGAGTGAATCCCTAAGGGGAGAGGTGGGGGTAAACTTCCGGGATCTTGAGGGTTAAAAGGGAAGGTCTGGCCAGGGGTCCCTGGTCAGAAGATTGTTTGCAGCCCACACTGCAGGGCAAGAGACACTTCTGAGTCTCCTCCTTTCTTCTTACTGGAGACTCCCAGGTGAAGAGGGATGCACCCCACCCTATTAAGGTGGATGGTGAGAGGATGGGTGGAGACCCTCAGGCAACAGGCAGGAACTCTTTCATAGCCCTGATTTTCCTGCAGCATGGGGAAGTCCCTCAGCTCTGAAGTTAGGTAGAGGTTCCCACGGCTCTGAGCAGGACTCCCACCCACCCATGAAGGAGTGTGGACCTGGAGTGCAGAGTGGCTGGTGGCCAAGAAAGACTGGGTGCATAAATCGCTCTCCTCTAGAGGAGCGAGGACTGGAGTCCTGGGGGCCTGTGGAGTGGGCCCCACTGAAATGGCTCAGGTGTGCTGAGGCAGGGGGTCTTGACCGAGCATCTGTTTTAGGCCTCCACTCCAGCCTCTGCAAGCCAGGTATCAGCTATGAGGGTCCCGCTTCTTCACCTCTCCACTGCCTCTGGCTCCTCGTCCCTGATGAAGCTTCTGCCGCCGCTACTGGTGGTGCAACTCTGGGGTGAGCCTGGGGCCCGGGGGCGACATGAGGGAAGGGCCAGGACCGGAGGTGGAGGGAATATAGCCACTGCAACCGCAGCCAGTTCGCCTTCCTGGGGGCCTGGCACCTACATAGACATCCCAAGCAGGATCCACCCTCGGGTAGGCTCTGTCCCCAGATGCCGCGCCCAACTGTTAGAGAAGCCAGCCCCTTCGCTTCATCAGCTTCTCCACCTTTCTGCCTCTCCTGCCTTGCCTCTTTGCCTCTTCCAGCCTTGCATGCCTTCTCCTCACCCCTTGCAGACCCATTGCATCCCTGCTTCTTCCTAAAGAAGGTGCTACAGTATCCCTAACCTGCTGTGCAGTGTTGGAGCACCTTGCCGTCCTTGGACTAGACCTGCCCTTCCCTCTTGCATATCCTTTCCCATTTGTCTAGCGCTTCTCGGAGTTCTGGCCCCATCTCTTGCTGTCTGTCTCCTGTTCCTTCTCCTGTCTCCTTGTCACTGCTGCATTGAGTTCCTGTCTCCTGTTCCTCATTGCCCCACTGTATGTCCTGTTTCCTGCTCCATACTGCCTCCACCTTGTTGACTGTTTCCTTTACCGCCTAGTTGCATTCTGGTCTTTGCTTCTTACTGCTCCACTGTGTCTCTGCCCCTTTGTCCCCCCTGTTCACCTCTTACCTACCACACTCCCTCTGCACAGTTCTCTGCCTAGGCTCGCATCTGGTCACAGCCCAGTAGGTTAGATCCCTGCCTTTCCTGCACATTGCCTCACCCGTCATCCGACTCCCACTCCAGTCTCAGCTTTGGGGTGTCTTAGTCCCATTCCAGTCTAACTCCTCTTGCCCTTTCACGCCTCAGCAACTGGTTCGCAGAGTTCTCTAATTTTCCCACGGCTCACAACTCAGCTGCGCCCTCTAGAGGCCAATCCTGTGAAGTGCTGCACTAACCCGGAACCCAGACCCCGCCGGGCAAGACCTGATTCCCTTGTTCCTCTATCCAGCGGCTCAGGCTCTGGTGCTCCCGGGAAACGACACGCGCCTGAACCTCGAGGCCTCCGGTGCCCTGTGCGCGCGTGACTCTCATCCCTGGCAGGTCTCCCTCTTCCATAACCTCCAGTTCCAATGCGGGGGTGTCCTCGTGGACCAGAACTGGGTGCTCACGGTCGCAAATTGCTGGAGAAAGAAGTAAGGAACGACTCAGGTAGCAAAGGATGGGGGGTGGGGGGGTGGGGGGGAGAATGGGGCCCAGGCATTCATCCAGCTTTGGTCAGTGTAGGGGTGTCAGCCATCCTACAAAAGAGGCAGGATCCAAGCTGCAGCGCCAGGGCAGGGCGCTGTGAGCAATTCGTGCCTGTCCACAGAAGTCAGTGTTTAAGACCTGTAGTTTCCTCATATGCCTGTGACACAGGGAGAAACGACCGGGTGAAATGAAGAAAGGAGGGGTGGGCATACCAACCCTCAGTCTTCAACCCTTAAACTCTTACTCTCTTCCCTCAGACCCAGGATTTCAGTCTCAGCCTCTTCCCTCAGTCCCAGGGGACCAGCCCCATCTCCTCTCCCAGGCCCTCTGATCTCAGGAGCCCACTTCACTTCCCCACCTTCTGACCCAAGAACTGAGATCAGGCTCTGTCTCCACGAAGGCGTTGCCTCCATCTCTCTTCTCTTCCTTCCCTAGGCCACTGAGGGCTCGAATTGGGGATGACCACCTGCTGCTTTTCCAGAAGGAGCAACTGCGGGCCACGAATCCCCCTGTTTTCCACCCCATGTACAAGCCTTGCTCAGGCCCCATCCTGCCACACCGCTCAGATGAACACGACCTCATGATGCTGAAACTGAGCAGTCCTGTGAAGCTGACATCCAACGTGCATCCTGTGCAACTGCCCTACCACTGTGCTCAACCAGGGCAGGAGTGCCAGGTCTCAGGCTGGGGGACCACAGCCACTCGAAGAGGCAAGAGCTGGGCTGCAAGAGTGTACTTTAGGGAGGAGGGCTGGACTCCTGGGTTTAGGGGAGGACCCTGTGACCTGGGTTCCTGGGCCCTAAGGGGGAAGGGCTAAATGAGAGTTAGACCCTAGATCTGAGGGAGGATAACTGGAGCCTGGATGTCTAGGTCCGAGGGAGGAGGCTAGAATACGAACTGGACCAAGGGGCTGGGGTTGGATTCACGGATCCGAGAGTAGAGGGGTGGAGTCTATAGCCCTGGATCTGGGAAAGAGGGCTGAAGTCTAGACACCTAGATTCGAGGTCATTGAGCTGGGCCTGGTCCGCTGGGTTTAAGAGAGGAAGGCTGTGGCTAGACTCCCATGTTGGGGGAAGAGGACTGAGATCTGACATCTGGATTTGAAGAGAAGGCTAGGATCTAGACCCCTAGGTCTGAGAGAAGAGGCTGGGCCTGACACCCTGGGTCTGAGGGAGGAGGCCTAGGAAGGAGTACAAGGGTATGAATTTCTGTGCCTAAGGGTGGAGAGATGGGGTTAGGTTTCCTGGGCATGCAGGAAGAAGGCTTGGAGTTAGACTCTGGGGTCTGGAAGAGAAGACTAACTGATCCCTGTGTGACTGGCCTGTTCTCAGTGAAGTACAACAGGAGCCTGAGCTGTTCCAGGGTAACTGTCCTCAGTCAGAAGCAGTGTGAGACCTTCTACCCAGGTGTGATCACCAACAACATGATCTGTGCTGGGCAGGACAGAAACCAAGACTCTTGCCAGGTAAGGGCAGGTCAGCAAACAAGTCTGTCTCCTGTGGCGGGGGCAGAAGACACTGAAAGAGCTGTCTATGCCTTCTCTCCCTTCCTCCCCAGTCCACACCCCTCCCTGCCCTTTACCCCCTTTCTCAACCCACTTCCTCAATCTGTTTTCCACCCTGCCAACCCCTATCTCTTGATCCCGCTCAGTCTTCTCACTTTGGATGAGCAAGTTCCAGCTGCAAACCCATTGTATTTCCATTGTCACCTCCCAACTTGACCCCCATGCCAACATCACCTCTGTCTGTATCCCCTTACCACTCCAACTTCTAACATCCTTCCAGGCCCATCCCAGTATCTTTTGTATCCTAACCCAACAATAGCCTTCCAGACAGTGACAGCTCTCATTTCATGGTATCTCCTTCCTCCCATCCTCAGGGTGACTCTGGTGGCCCCCTAGTGTGTGACAACACCCTGCATGGCGTCCTCTCATGGGGCATTTACCCATGTGGTGCTACCCAGCACCCAGCTGTCTACACCAAGGTCTGCAAGTACATCACCTGGATCCGAAGAGTCATGCGTTCCAAATGACCAGTTTCTCATGAAAGGTCACCCCCATCCCATCTGCCCACCTCCCTCCTCCTCTCATGCCCGCCCACACCTCTGAGAATATATCATCTTCTCTCACCCCCTGCCCACTCCTGTTCTCTGCCCACAAATGCAGAAAATGGTGGCTGAGAAAGTTCTAGTACCTCAAGGAAGCTGGCAGTCCCCAAGTCTCTAAGAGAAGTTATCTGTCATTCAACCTGGCTTCTTCTACCCCCCTCCTCTGTATGACTGGTATAAGCTTGGTACTCTCTCTGAGCCTTGGTTTCCTTGTTTGAAAAATGGGGACAATGAACTGTCTACCTCTTACATAAATTGTATGGAGACCATGATGGAATGGAACGTGTGTGTGTGTGTGTGTGTGTGTGTGTGTGTGTGTGTGTTTTCATGGTAATTATCACAGTAATTATCACAGAGACACGAACACAAAAGCATATATCTATTCACGTGCATGAATCGATGATTAAACACTACCCAATCTGACCTCCAGTGTGTGTGCCTCTGTCTGGGATCAGATGCAGTGAGTGCACAGAGGGCAGCCTTCATATGCCAGCAGCAAGGAAGAGTCTGGCTCCACACTGCCACCCAGAGCACCCTCAGAGTCCTTTCATGTTTTAAGGACCTCAGTTCCAGTAAAACTGGATTTCATGATGATACACTGTTCAGTAGAGTTGGAGGCTTTTGGTTTGTTGTTGTTTTTTAAAATCACATTTATTTTGTGTATGTGCATGCATGCACGTACACAGCATGGGACATGTGTGGAGATCAAAAGCAGTTGGTTCTTCTTTTCTAATCATGTGGGTCCCAGAGTCTGAACTCAAGTCATCTGGTTCAATGGTGAACATCTTTACCCACTGAGCAATCTTTACAGATCTTCTTAGTTTACAGAAGTATATATTTATTCACGTGCATGAATGTGAACACATGCATGGATGTCAGAGGACAGACACCCCAGGAGCCAGTCCTTCCATTCTAGGGACTCCATCCAGGATGTCAGGCTTGGCGGCGCCTTCACCTGCTGAGCCATCTTGCTTTCCCAAGTTGGAGTTTATTGCAAGAAATTTCTAACATGGATTTTAAGCATGAGGGTTAAAAGAAAGAGAGGCACGTTGGAAGAAAGCAAGACACATCTAAAAGCATGGACATGGCCTTCTTTTTATTATTATATTTACATATCTATTTGTTCAAGTGCACACAGGTGTGTGTGTGTGTGTGTGTGTGTGTGTGTATCAGAGAACAATTTGTGAGAGTCCGTTCTCTCCTTCCACTGTGAATCCCAGGGATCAAACTCAGGTTGTAGGCTTACCAGCGTGTAATTTTATCCACTTGAGCCACCTCACCTATCCCAGGAGTGTGGACTCCTCAGAGAAGAATCTGGCTTTCACAATATTCAGAATGGGCTTTTCAATGAGGTTCAAAGTTAGCATCATATGGATTCTAGTTATATCAATATAATTATGCCATTATATCTACGTGAGATCATAGGGTGGCTTCTGGGGGCATCTGGTGAGACCACAAAAGAGACGCTGCAACTCCAAATCAGGAGGACTTGGGAAGGTAGTTACCTACAATGTTGACAGTTAACAGTCTCGTCTCTGAGGGACCCAGAAAATTCTTAGGAGAGGAGAGAGGCAAATATTGGACTCAGTCCCTGGGTCACACAGATGGAGGGACAGAGCAGACACTGCAAATTGTTCTCTGACCACCACACATACACTGTGGCATGCATGTGCAGGAATACACACAAAATAAACAAATGTTAAAAAGACATTAAGAAAGGAAGGAGGGGAGAAAGTTCTGGAGAGATGGCTCGGCAGTTAAGAGTGTGGGCTGCTCTTCCAGGGGCCCTGGAATTAACTCCTAGCATCCACATGGCAGCTCACAACCAGCTGTAATTCCAGTTGCAGGGGCTCTGATATTTTCTTCTGGTCTCCAGGTACTCATGTGGGGCATATACATGCAGGCAAAACAAAAATACATAAAATTCCAAATATTTAAAATATGGGCTGATGTCTTAGTTAGAATTTCTATTGGTGCAATGAAATACCATGACCAAAAAGCAAGTTGGGGAGAAGAGGTTTTACTTGGCTTATGCTAACATAACACTGTTCATCATCGGAGGAAGTCAGGACAGGAGCTCAGATAGGGCAGGAACCTGGCTGGAGTCAGGAGCTGATGCAGAGGCCATGGAGGGGTGCTGCTGCCTAGCTTTCTTCCACGGCTTGCTCAGCTTGCTTTCTTATAGAACCCAGGACCACCACCCCAGGGATAGCACCACCTACAATGAGCTGGGCCCTCCTCATCAATGACTAATAAAGAAAATACCTTACAATTGTATCTCATGGAGACGTTCCCTCAACTGAGGCTCCTTCCTCTATGATGACTCTAGTTTGTGTTGACTTGACACAAAACCAGCCAGGACAGCTGGAGAGATGGCTCAGTGGTTAAGAGTGTGTACTGCTCCTACAGAGGAACCTGAGTTTGGTTCTCAGCACACAAGCAGTCAGATGCCTCAGGCTTCCTCAGGGAACCTGCACTTACATCCGTGTACCCATCTACAGACATGTACAAATACACATGACTTTGAAACAATCGATAAACACCACGGCTCTTAGCAACAAAAACTAAAACAAACAAAAACTCAATATGGTTAACTGTGCTAGAATCCCTGAGTCTCAGCTAGTGAGACGCTTTAGCTAGTCTTTGGAGCAAACGATCTCTCTTCCAACATTTTCCTTTCCTGCCTCACCCCCAGCCCACCCCTAGGACTGATGGGAAAATCAGATCCTCTATTCCTCCTAACCTTCCAGAAGGGTCTTTTAACCATTTCCTCTCCCCCTTCCACTAGGTCTCATTTCTGGGTCCACCCAACACCAGTTCTTCCTGTCCTGGCAGAAACTGAACCTTTGGGTCACCTGATACACGTTCTGCCTCCCTTGGGGCCCTGGAACTCGAGACTCTAGTGCAGCATCCACGCCCACTCCCAGCTACAGCAGAGAACCCCCACAGCTAAACTCACCAAGGAGCCTTCCCGTGGGCTTTAGAAAAAAAAAACTGTGCTGTATACTAAAGGCTCTGAGGGTTTTGTCAGAGAGAGGTTATTTTCCCCATCTTGATACGGTCTGTGGATAAATGTATCTATTTCAAAAGGCGTGTGGAGTTCTTCACAGAATTCAGATGAAATGTAAATGTATGTGAGCATCCTGACTTACCCTAGACCTAAATAAAGGGAACACAGAAATCTTGATAGAGGGGCATATAGTTTGTGTCTTAAAGGATGACTAAGAGTTCACCAGAAAAAGGATATAGAAAAAAGTGTTCACTTATTAAATCAGCATATTTCCCCCTTTCGAACACCAACTTTATTGAGTCTCTGATATATGCCAGGCCCAGAGCCCACAGAGTGTTGATGTCTAAGTTCAGAACATGGAGTCTGACCTACAGCTCCCTTCCGTCAGCTCTGCCCCGTCCCACACCATTAGCTTACCCAGGAAATGTCAGTTCAATGTGTCATCTGAGGATCCAAAGCACAGTAAGTAGGGTCTTGCAAACCGGCGTCATATTTGGAAGTAATTCATCTGTGTCCTCTGCCAAGTCCCAGAGGTGACTCTAACCAAACCCTACCCCAGGAAGCTGCTCATCAGGTCTAGGAGACAGGCTGGTCTCACATTCCTGACATTCAGGTCTCTGTGAGGTCACATCCTCCAGGAAGCCTCCCTGCAGTGCCCTAGACAAAGCGTCTTACGTTGGTTGCCAATCTCTTTTTTGGGGGAGGGGGTTTATTAATCATCTTATTAGTGTACATTTCAAATGATATCCTCCTTCCTGGTTACCCCTTCACAGACCCCACTTCCTCTGTGACACCTGTGACAGCAGCTGTTGTATTGTGTGTGTTTTTATTTGATAACATCCTCCCTGTCCCTGTCATACTCTACTTCAGCCCCTGAAACAGAGATACCTGCTAGATTAGACTCATGCATATTAAATGAGTTCATAGAAACCGACTTATTTAAGCCCAGGCTATTGAGGGGCTGGAAATGGCTCAGTGCTTAAAAACACTGGATGAGCAGAGAGAGCCCGGGCTGAACCCCAGCTGGGTGGCTCACAACAATCTATAACTCCAGTTCCAAGGGGTATGATGCTTTCCTCTGACATCTGCAGATAGCAGGTGATACACGTACATACATCCATGAAAAAAAATCATGTGCATAGAATCCTAGAATCTAAATACTTTTTATAAAAGCCCACTCAAACGACTGGGCTGGAGAGATAGATGGCTCAGTGGGCACAAGAGCTTGTCACCAAGCCTGATGACCTGAGTTTGACACCCATGACCCACATAGTGGAAAGCAGAGAAACGACTCCCACAACCATCCTTTGATCTCCATGCACATTCTGTGTCATGCCCACATACAATAAACTAATGTAATTTTTCAAAGTTAGCTGCTAGAGGCAAAAGAGACAGCTCGCCATTAAAAAGCTCTTGCTATGAGAACTGTCATAGGGGCCCAGCATGAGCAAACATCGATAACACATGAACAAAATAAATCTTTTTTAAGGATAGCTATTAGCACGGACTTTTTAAAAGATCTGTTTTATTTTTATTTAATTTTATGTGGTGTGTAGATGAGTGTGTTCACTCACTCAGATACCAGAAGAGGGCATCAGATCTCCAGGATCTGGAGCTCTAACTCAACACAGGCTACTGTGACCTGCCTGATATGGCTGTTGAGGACTGAACACCCACCCTCAACCCCCGGTCCTCTGGAAAAGCAGCAAATGCCCTTTCCCACTGAGGCATCCCCCTGGACCCTAAAATGTACCCTTAAAGCAGGTAATGCGGTCCTATGCACACAGTGTCTACTTTCTGCTCTCAGAGGCATCCACATCTGCACGGGGAGTAATTGTACCCTTGGCTGGCATGCACTTGAAGACTGTGCAGGGCTGGGGGTGGGGTGGGGGTGAGAGCTGGGAAGACAGTTTGTTGAATATTCCTCACGTTGCAGGCACTTTTTGTTTGGTATGTGTATGTGTTCATGTGCACATGTGTGTGTGTGTGGAGGTCAGAGGTGTGTGCACGTGTGTGTGTGCACGTGGAAGCCAGAGGTGTGTGCACATGTGTGTGTGTGTGTGCATGTGGAGGCTAGAAGTGTGTGCACATGTTTGTGTGCACATCTGTGTGTACATGTAGAGGCCAGGGGTATGTGCACACGTGTGTGAGCACATGTGTGTGTGCATGTGGAGGCCAGAGGGGTGTGTGCACATCTGTGTGTGCGTGTAGAGGCCAGAGGTGTGTGCACACGTGTGTGTGTGCATGTGGAAGCCAGAGGTGTGTGCACACATGTGTGTGTGCATGTGTGTGTGCATGTATGTGCATGTAGAGGTCAGAGGTGTGTGCACACATGTGTGTGTGCATGTGTGTGTGCATGTGGAGGCCATAGGTGTGTGCACATGTGTGTGTGTGCATGTGTGTGTGCATTTGGAGGCCAGAGAAGTGTACACATGTGTGTGTGTGCTTGTGTGTGTGCATGTGGAGGCCATAGGTGTGTGCACATGTGTGTGTACATGTGTGTGTGCATGTGTGTGTGCATGTGGAGGCCAGAGGAGTGTACACATGTGTGTGTGTGCTTGTGTGTATGCATGTGGAGGCCATAGGTGTGTGCACATGTGTGTGTGTACATGTGTGTGTGCATGTGGAGACCAGAGGTCAGATCATTTCTCTCCCTCTATTGCTGCCCACCCTTTCTTCTTTTTGCAACTATCATTTTTTAACTTTTTATTTATAATTTATTTAATATGTATGTGCCTTTTGCCTATATGTGAGTTTGAAAACTATATACATTCAGTACCAAAGGAGGCCAGAAGAGAGCACTGGATCGGATCTCCTGGAGCTGGAGTCTCAGATCTGAGCCACCATGTGGTTGCTAGGAATTGAACTGGGGTCCTCTGGACAAGTAGCCAGTGCTCTTAACCCCTGAGCCACCTCCTCAGCCCCTCTACATCTTCTTATTATGCCTTATTTTAATCTGTGTGTGTGTGTGTGTGTGTGTGTGATGGAGGCTGAGAGGCGTTCATGCCACAGTGCACATGTAGAGGTCAAAGGGCAACTACTCATAAAAATCAATTCTTTCTTCCACCATGTGGGTTCTGAGGTTCAAATTCAGGTCAAGCTTGGCAGCAGGCCCCTTTACCCACAGAGCCCTCTCATTGCTCCTTCTTATTTTTTTGAGACAGAGCCTTTCACTAAACCTGGCCCTCACAGATTGGCTAACCTGGCTTGCCAGCAAGCCCCAGGGTCTGCCCGTCATCATCTCCTGAGTGCTGGAACTAAAAGAACATGAACCACTGTGCTTCTTTGGGTTTTTGCCTGTTTGGTGGTGGTGGTGGTGGTGGTGGTGGTGGTGGTGGTAGTGGTAGTGGGTGTATTTAACAGGGACTCTGGTAATTGAACTCAGGTCCTCAGGTTTGCACAGAAACTACCTTACCCACTGAACCATCTCTCCAGGCACTCTGATGAGAGCTATATCTGTTCATCAGCGCCATCTGCTCCCTCCCTGCAGCCTGGTTATCATTGCCATTTAATAGCCCCAGTACCTAAGTCACACATCTAATCTTTACCCCCGAGAGAACTGGGCACAGATGGTCCAGCTCACACTTCAACATCACAGGGCAGGGGTGTGACAGGGAGCAGATCTCAACTTGATATTCAGGCTCCTGGGCATCAGAAAGTGGACATGAGGGCCAGGTCAGCCTTAGCCTGAAGAAATCATTGAAGGCATGTCAGCAGAGGGCATTGGATCCTGAGGATGAGTAAGAGTTTATCAGAAAAAGAAGGATATGGAGAAAGACACTCAATCGTTGTCATCTTTGGAGGACTCCAGAGATCCCCACCCAGAACAGGGTGATATTGGGGACAGGGATGAGTCAGACTCAGGCTGGGCTCTCCCAGGAGATTTGCCCCATGCTGGGAGAGAACCATGGGGAAAACTGAAGCGGGAGAGATGGGCAAGACCGATACACCAGGTGTGAGGCTCTGAGACGATGGTAGAGGACAGAGGGGAGGCGTGGAGAGAACGGGCTTGATTCCAGAGACCGTGAGCACCTGGGTTCCTGGGGAACTGTGGAAAAGGGGGCAGGTTATGACAAGAGTGGGTTAATCCAGATAGGACCAGATTTCTCAACACCACAGGAGAGGCCCGTGTGCTTGAGGGAAGGAGCCCTGATCACAGTCCCAGAACAGGTTTGGTTTGGGAAGCTTCATTCTTCCTCAAACATACGTAGTCTCTTGTCTCTGTCTGTCTCTGTCTCTCTGTCTGTCTCTGTCTCTGTTTCTATCTCTCTCTCTCTCTCTCTCTCTCTCTCTCTCTCTCTCTCTGTGTGTGTGTGTGTGTGTGTGTGTGTGTGTATGCCCTTCCTTCCTCTTCCTCTTCCTTCTCCCTCCTCTCCTCCTCCTCCAAGCCATAGAACAGTTTGAATCCATATTTCAAAGTCTGAGGACATGGGAAACAAAATCCACCTTTTTAAGGCTCCGTCAGAAACTCTCCAAGGCCCAGCACCCTTCTCCATTTATCCAATTCTGCTGAGCTAGGAAGCCCCATGGAGAGTCCCTTGTGCCCCATCCCCTTCCAGAGGACCCTGTCATAAGGCCTTCCCCCTCCCCCGGGGACATTTCCCAACTCTGATTAATCACAGGGGCGGCCCCACGGAGGAGGAAGGAAGATCTCTATGGCTTACCATAAAGAAGGTCAGGCACCCAGTAGCAGGCCGAAGGACCTGTGCCCAAGGCCATGAAGCTGGGACTCACCTTGGTGCTGTTCTCTCTGCTGGCAGGTGAGAAACCCAGACCCGCACCCTCCAGCTCCATGTTCCCCTATATGGTGTTCTCGCCCTTTGGACTCCTCAGGAAACTCCTCCCCGAGCTCTCCCCAGGCTGCTGGTTCTGACCCTTCTGCCCTCCACCGCACCCTAGGCCACTGTGGAGCTGACACCCGCGCTGTGGGAGCCCGGGAATGCCAGCGCAACTCTCAACCCTGGCAGGCCGGCCTCTTCTACCTCACTCGACAGCTCTGTGGAGCCACGCTCATCAATGACCAATGGCTGCTCACAGCTGCTCACTGCCGCAAGCCGTGAGTGTCCAGAGCGGTCCAGGCCCAATGGGGACTGGGAATCAGGAGGAGGGGAAGGCCTGGCTTGGGGGTTTGGGGGATCGGGATTGGAGGCAGGAGAGGGATGACATCAAACCGGGGCTCTTAACTACTTGCTCAGAGACCTGATTCTAAGACTCAATACATAAGCTCTTCGGGGTCTCACTGTGTAGTAATCCTGGCTATCCTGGAACTCTCAATGTGGACCAGTCTGACCTGGAACAGAGATCCACAGACATCTGCCTTCCCAGAGTGCTGAGGTTATAGGTGTCCCAACACAATCAGAAATTTAAGATTATCCTCAGTTACATGAAGTTCTAGGCCAGCTGGAACACAAGCAACTCTGTCTCAAGAGAGAGAGGGGGAGGGAAGGAGGGAAAGAGAGAGAGAGAGAGAGAGAGAGAGAGAGAGAGAGAGGTGATGGAGGGAACATAAAAGAGAGGATGAAGAGAGAAGAGGAAGAAAGAGTGATGTAATGGGGAAGAAAGAAAGAGGAATAGAGAGAAAGAAAGGAATGAAGGAGGGAGAAATTCTAGAAGCCTGTAGTCAGGAATTACTAGATTTCCAACCACAGTGTTTGGAATGGACTGGTGAGCATGTAAAATCTGGCAGGTTTAATATCCCAGAATCCCACCCTTGCAGAGTCCTGTGGGCCAAGATGGCTCTGAACTGCGGATGCTCAACATCTACGGGTTCTAGATATGCAAAACTCTTCTCTTGCTGTCCTAGACTATTGGGATTCTAGAATCTTTGACCACTAGTGTATGCTATTTAATGCAGACAATCTTAAAATCCTGCGGTTTGTTTTTGAGACACGGTTTTGAATAGCCCGGGATGTTCTTGAACCTGCTATGTAGCCAAAGGTGGCCTTGAATTCCTGTACTTCTAACAACCTCCTCCTCTGTGTTAGAATGATGGGATTTTACAACCACAGGACAAAGGTCTTGAACTTTCTGACAAAATAAGTTGTAGGATATCAGAGGTGTGAATCTATATAGTTCCCTGAGTTGAACTTCTCAGAATCCCAGAAGCATAGACAATGAGGTGTTAGACTCTGAGCATTCTGGGATCCTGATTCCAGTTGTTCTAGGGTGCTGGACACTATAAGTTCAAAGAATCTTCTCTACATTTTCTTCAGACAAGGTCACCTAGGCTATTCCAATATTCTCTCTAGGAATTTCCCAACATGCATCCTCCCAAGATGGGCACCATCTTGGGCTGAGAGGGTGATATTTTGATTTAGTCCCCAAGAAAACAGGGCTGTGGAGAGGGAGGAACAGTCAGGGGGGCCTAGATGGATGAAGAGGCTAGCTTTCTCATCCCCAGGGTGTCAGAGAGGCATAGACACAGAAATAATACTTCATATTCCCCAAACCTCAAGTATCACCCTGATGCTTCCTATTGAAAATTGGAAGCTAGGGGACCTGGAGACCATAGAAGGCCCCTAAGTGCTCATAGCATGAACTTAGAGCAGAGCACGTTTGCTGGAGCTGCATCAGGGAACCTAAGGTTAGAACTGAGGGAGAAATACCTGGGCGATAAAGGATATTACAGGTGGAAGTGGCTTTTACGCCTCTTGGAAAACTTGGAAGTTATCCATGTCCCACCCCCCTCCATACACTCGTTGAAACACTTAAAGCCACTCCCACAGAAGCCACCAGACCTGTGGGAGCAGGGGCGTGGTTGTTTTTGTGTGGTAGGTGGGGTTCCTATGCATCCACAATGCTCCAGTGGACCCAGGTCACCACTGAGGCTCCAGGGGGGATGGGGAAGAAGGCAACTGATTTTGGAAAGTAGACTACAAGGAGCAGAGCCTTGGAGAGGGTGTGGCTGTGGAGGGGCGTGGCTGTGGAGGGGCATGCAGGACCTTGGGTGGACTGAGCCTCCTGTCACCAGCCTGAACTCTGAAGTCTGTCCTCACAGGTACCTGTGGGTCCGCCTCGGGGAGCATCACCTGTGGCAGTGGGAAGGCCCTGAGAGGCTGCTTCTGGTAAAAGACTTCTTCCCTCATCCCGGGTTCAATCCAGACCTCTCTGCCAACGACCACCATGATGATATTATGCTGATCAGACTCCCTCGGAAGGTCCGGCTGAGTCCAGCTGTGCAACCCCTCAACCTCACCCAGAGAATACCACAAGTGGGCACCCAGTGCCTTATCTCCGGCTGGGGCAGTGTGTCAAGCTCCAAAAGTATGGGTTTGTCCTTAACGCTTGCTCATCTCTTCCCATCTCTCCTCTCTTCTCTTTCTCTTCCTCCTCTCTGCCCCTCCATCTCCTCCTAAATCTCTTCTCCTCTTTCCTTCTCCCTCTCATCCTCTTCCTTCATTTTCTTCCTTTCTCTTCCCTCCTCTTCCTCCTCCTTTTTTCTACCCCTTCATCCCATCCTCCCCCTCTTCCCTTCCCAGGGGCCTCTTCCATAGGACTTGTTAGCTCCCAGCTTAGCTCCAGGTTCAGTGAGAGACCTTTTGTCAAGGGACTATAGCGTAGAGTGACAGAGTAGGAGATCTGACGGCCTCCTTTGCGTCTGTGTACACACACACACCACACACATGTACATATCTCATGTGTATATACACATGAAAATTCAGGACAGGATGTGGTGGTGTGTGTTTTTAATCCCCACATTTGGGAGGTAGGGGCAGACAGATCTCTAGGAATTTGAAGCCAACCTGGTCTACACACCATTATATACTACATAGACATAGACAGACATAGACATAGACATAGACAGACATAGACATAGGCATAGACATGGGCAAAAAAGATGCTCATACTCTCAAAATAGCACCCACTTGGCAGAATCAATAGTATAGGCGTCCCACAGAGTAGCAGTAGGGGCTACACTTGAGGGATTTCTATCTACAAGAGACCATGTGCCCCTACTGTGTTGTCCAGTCTCTGTTAATGTCTCTCAACCCTTTTCTCTGCATGACTTCCTTGCCATTTGCCTCTGGCTGTGGTTTTCACCTCAGGGATGTTAATCTCCCTCCCTGGTCTTTATTCATCCCACTCCCATGATCCCCCTCCCCCACATCCTTCCTGTTTCACTTCCTCTCTCTCTCTCTTTCCCCCCTCTTAGCCATCTATTCTTTCTCCAGCCCTGGGTTGACTGTCTGGATGTCGTTTCTCAATCTTGGCCCAGTGACTCTGTGGGAGTCCTGAGGTTGGAAGGGCTGCAGGGAAGGTTCCTGAGGGTGCTGCCTGGGATTCTGGGAACATCCTCCATCCTTCTCCCCAACAGTACAGTATCCAATGACACTGCAGTGCGCCAACATTAGCATCCTGGACAACAAGCTCTGCCGCTTGGCATACCCAGGCCACATCTCTGAGAAGATGCTGTGTGCTGGCCTGTGGGAGGGTGGCCGAGGCTCTTGCCAGGTGAGCCATCCCCTGCAGGAGGATAAAAATTCTTGTCTAGACCTCAGGGTAGAAGATGGCTAGAACCACAGACTCCAGGACCTAGGGATCCAGGCTGAGTCCTGGGAGGTTCTGGATGCTACATGGTGGGGGAGGGGGGCGAGTTGTGTGAGCTTTTATTCCTGAGTCTGAGGGAGGAGAGACTACAGATCAGGCCTCCTGGGTATTCAACAGCAGGAAAACTGTTCAGCTTTCTCAGGAGGAAGCTTCAATTCTCATGAATAGACCTAGCTAACAGCTCTGTTCTTCACCATGCACAGGGTGACTCTGGGGGACCCCTGGTGTGCAAAGGAACCTTGGCAGGTATAGTGTCTGGGGGGTCTGAGCCTTGTTCCAGACCCCAGAGACCCGCTGTCTACACTAGCGTCTTCCACTACCTGGATTGGATTGAAGACACCATGGAAAAAAACTGAGTCCATGCTAAGGACAGACTGGAGAGGAAGATGGATGTAGAAGGGGAAGATACTGCAGGATTCCACAGCCCCAGCTTCTTTGATGTCTGTCAAAGTCCGGGATGATAAAACTCTACCCCCTCAGGCTCTGACCCCCAGATTTCACTCCTTACTTAGGCTCCCCTCGAAGAATCCACCCACTTAGGTCATCTTCCCTCTTGGGTTCTGCTCCCAGGCAAATGAATTATAATAAGACCACAACCCCTCAAAACCAACCGAGACACGCCTCCTTTGCTCCTGGCCCATACTACACGATTTTAATCACCATTCTTTGGAATAGCCCTACCCTCAGGATCACTGCCAAGAAATATCGTTCAGTAAATAGCTGCTGCATCCCTTCAAATTTCACCCAATAGGATTTCTTCTCTGGACTCCATCCCGTTTGCCCCCACTCCTAGTCATGTTAGGACTGCGTTTACTCCGCGCACATGGAGCTCAGATGGCTCTGGGTTCTGTCCCGGGTGTGCCGAGGGTTTGACTCTTGAGAGAGGATGATGGGGCACTGATCTCTCCAGAGCCACCAGATGAATCAGAATAAACCATAGGAACGATGACTTCCTGTCGCCTGTAATGTGGGATAAAGGGTGCGCACAGGTGGGGAGGAAAGGGTAAATGAAGGAACCTGCACCGGCCGAACCTTTGCGCTAACCTTAACATCAAGCCTATTGCAGCAGCACCTTGGCACTTTAGCCAGGGCTGGTCCTGCCGCCCTGGGAGGAAGGGGAAACCAGGTTACAGCGCCACCCTAACCTGCCTACCCAGATGTCCCGGGCTGGTTACTGATCCACCCTCAAAGTCCCCAACCAGAACACACGCCTTTCCCAATTTCCACAAAACTCAGTTCCAAGCCCGTCCTTCATGAAGGACAGAGAATTTAATCCCAGCTCCCTTGCTTCCTCAGACCCTGGAGAAACCCCCAGTCCTTCTCCTTCAGATTCAACCTTCACCCTCAAACTCAGGAGTCTAGATCTTATCGCTCCTTCCTTAGATCCAGGGATTCAGATGAGGTATTCAAACCCCAACTCACTTCCTTAGGATTCAGGCTTCCACTTTCCTCCCTCAGACTCTGCTCCTCCTCTCTCAGACCAAGGTATTCAAATACCAGCCCTCCTCCTTCCGGCCCAGGAGCCCAGATTCCAGTTGCCTCCCTCCGACCCATCTCTTTCTGTTCTACCCCGGGGGTCGGTGCACTGCCCCTCTAGTCCTCTCCTCGGTTTCCGAGGCTCGAGCCCCTCCTCCTAAAGTCACTCTAGCCCTTGCCCCTCCTCCCTCCTCGAGCGCTTGCGGGTTCAGGCGCACCGCAGCAAGGTGCGGGCCGAAGGCGGAGTCGTGGGCGGGGCTTCTTAGTTAAAAGGCTGCAAAATCTTGTACCCGACACACCGAAGGGAAGTCCGGGGGGCCTCTTCCACCGAGTTCGAGTGACCCCGCCCCCTGCATTCTGGAAGGTGAGGCGCAGAGGTCTCCAGACACGGACCTCAGGCGCAGGGACCTCCCCTTTCCCTGATCCCAGGACCCCCAGCCTCACATTTTTTCTCTCAGGATCTTCAAGCAGGTCTCCTAAGCTCCCTCTTCCCCAGGACGTTGGAGTCACAGCCTCAGATCTTTCTCTCCAATCTCACGAGTGGGCCAGAACTCCTTCCTTTAGAATGTCGGGATCCCCACCAGCAAGCTTTCCCCTACACTAAAATTCGGGGATCTAGAGCTCTGCCCCAGCTTCCTCAGACCCCAGCTCCATCCTCCATCAAGACTCCAGACAGCTCCGGAAACACCTCCTTGCCCCAGTTCCCCAGACAACAAGACCTCAGGCTCCTCCCTCGGACGTCCTCTCAGTTCCACCCTCTTCCTCAAAGGCCACCATGGGACGCCCCCCACCCTGTGCAAACCAGACGTGGATCCTTCTGTTTCTGCTAATGGGAGCGTGGGCAGGTGAGGGGAACAGGTACCACTACCCAGGGCCTTCAATGGGGTCGGAGTTACTGGACTCTGAGTGAGCTCCTGCTAACACGTGGGTGCGTGTGTGTGTGTGTGTGTGTGTGTGTGTGGTGGTGGTCTTGGAGACTGGGGAGCTTTCTTCGGAGTAGAGATAGCAACACATGGTGGGGGGAGTGGGCAGAGTTTCCCATAGGTGCATGGCTGCGGAAGAGATCTTGTTGCCCGTCAGACAAGGGGCTGAATTTGAGTGTGGGGGTGTATAATAACTAATCTAGACACGCATGAAAGCATGGTGGGGGCTGTGCCTAGTGTTGATCATCTTCAGGTCTCAATGAGCTTACGTGTGTGGCCATGTGGCCATGTTCCAATGGATGTTGGGACCTCATCTGTTGAAGTCATAAGAGATGGTACGCAGAGGAACTGGCTGTGTGTCCATTTGAACCCACAGTGGCTTTCCTGGCTGGGGCTCTGACATCGAGGGTGGCAACCCACCCTTCTCCTTTCTGATGCAGGACTCACCAGAGCACAGGGCTCCAAGATCCTTGAAGGTCGGGAGTGTGAACCCCACTCCCAGCCTTGGCAGGCAGCCTTGTTCCAGGACGAGAGACTGATCTGTGGGGGTGTTCTAATCAGAAACAGATGGGTTCTCACTGCAGCCCACTGCAAAAAAGAGTGAGTGAAGGACTGGGCTCAGATGGGGGGACTTGGAACGAAGAGGCTGAGGGCTCTGTCTGAGGAAGAGGAGGAAGTTAGAAACTTGGGTCTGAGGGAGGAGGGCTAAGGAGGACTGCTGGATCTGAGGAAGACAGGCTAGGGCCTGGACTCCAGGGTTCTGAGGCAGAAGGATTGGAAAGTACCCCCATGTACCTCCAACTTCTGCTTGGGTTCCAACATCCACCCCGACTCCTCACCCCAGCTCCACCCCTCCCTGTGCAGGAAGTACTCCGTGCGCCTAGGTGATCATAGCCTCCAGAGCAGAGACGAGCTGGAGCAGGAGATCCAGGTGGCTCAGTCTGTCCAGCATCCCTGCTACAACAATAGCAACCCAGAGGATCACAGTCACGACATAATGCTCATTCAACTACAGAACGCAGCAAACCTCGGGGACAAAGTGAAGCCCGTTGAGCTGGCCAGTCTGTGTCCCAAAGTAGGCCAGAAGTGCATCATATCAGGCTGGGGCACTGTCACCAGCCCTCAAGGTAAAGAAATGGGCCCCTACCTAAGAAGGTGAAGAGAAGGCAGTCACCCCAGTGGACCCCAAGCCATTGCAGACCTCACCCCCAACATACCCTGATCTACACACACCCTAAGAGAAGATAATGAGAGAGAAAAGAGACCACATTAAGTTTTATGGGGAGAGGGAAGAAATGCTTTGGGGAAGGGAACTGTAAGTAAAGTGTTTGCCTAGCAAGAGTGAAGGCCTCGAGTTCAGATCCCCAGCACCCACGCTAAAGCCAAGTGTGGCAGCATACACTGGTAACCCCAATGCTGGGAGGTGGAGAAAGGTGGGTACAAGGTTCATCGGTCAGCCAGCATAGCCTAAAGATCCAGGTTCAAAGACAGACCCTGTCTCAGTACAAACATGTGGTGAGCACGGGCACTGTTTGTTTGTTTGTTTGTTTGTTTGTTTTTGATTATATCTATTTATTTGTGTGTTTGTGTATGTATGAGCATGTGCACATATGCATGCCCCAGCATACATGCAGAGGTTAGAGGACAGTCTATAGGAATCAGTTGTTTCCTTCCACCCTTTGGGTCCTGGGGGTGGAACTCAGGTTGTGAGGCTTGGCAGCAAGCACCTTCACCTGCTAAGCCATCTCAGCAGCCCATGGTGTGCTTTTGTGATCACAGCTCTGAGGAGCTAGGTAAACAAGCGGTAGCCTGGGACTCTGGCCAGACAGCCTAGCTCAATTGCTGAGTTACAGGCCAATTAGAAATGCTGGCTCAAAAAACAAGGTAGACTCCATCTTGAGGATGAACACCATTGGTTAATCACTGAACACACACACACACACACACACACACACACACACACACACACACACTCACTCAACCAGGGCCTGTGTTAGAAACCTTGAATGCTAGATGATAATGGGGAAGATTAAACAGCTTGTTAGTGTTAAGCAGAATTCAAAGAAAGAAAAGAAACTTTCCTTTACCTTGTATGCACTTCCATTGTATAGAGCTTTATATAAACGTCCTAGCAGATGTGGGCACAAGCTCCAGTCTGACCCTGTTCTTTCCCACGACCTAGGGTCCAGACCCTTCCTTCATCATCACCCAGCCTCCATGATCCAAGGGGGTCCAAACTCACTTCTTATTCATGAGCCAAACATTAGTCCCTTTGGGATTTTGGCATATCTAGAATGTTCCTCAGCTCATAACTTCATAGTGAGAACAAGTGGGACTCAGCTCAGAGAAACAATGGGGCCCTCCAGGCATTGGGCACGCCAGCAATCAGGTCCCTACATGCCTTGACGTCTACTGAGACAGCATGGCTTGGTAATGCATACTGAGGAATGCGTGGATCTTTCCATCAGCCCTGGAGAGCCACTTCCTATCCCCCAGCCTTGCTTTCCCCAGTGATGTCCAGGGAGTCAGCATCTAACTGGCAATTAGCTCCATGAGGCTTCTACTTTCTTTAGTTTTTATTGCATTGTGTATGTGCACGTGTGTGGTGCAGGTTGGGGAGAACCTGTGGAACTTAGTTCTCTCCTTCCACCATGATGTCCTAAGAATCAAAATCAGGCTTGAGGTTTGACCCACTGAGATATCTCTCCACGACTCATCGGTTTTCTTTTTTAGTTTTTTTTTTCTTTTATGTGTGTGAGTGTTTGCCTGCATGGATGTGTGTGTACTTTGTCCACGTAGCGCTTGAAGAGACCAAGAGTTCTGAACCTGGTGTTGTAGATGGCTTTAAATCACCATGTGAGTACCGGCAGCAGAGCCTGGGTGCTCTTACCTGCTGAGCAGCTCTCCAGACCTCAGTCTGATTTTTGTTGTCTTGACACAGGATCTCTCTACCATGTAGCCCTGGCTGTCCTGAAACAAAGTAGACAAGTCTGGCTTTGAACTTCCAGTGCCTCTGCCTCCCAAGTTTCAGGGTTAAAGGTGTCTGCCACCATTTCTATCTGTTCTCTTGACAATGTGTTCTATGTGCTTGGAAGTTCTCTGGGAGCCTGGAAATGCGTTGTAAATCTCCCTGCATGGATGAATGAATGATAAGATGAATGAGTGTACCCTGACTTCTTCAAAGAGTGTTTGTGAGGGTCACATGAGATTGTGAGCAAAAAGATTCTGGATCTTCTCCCGGTCTTCTCCTTAAAGAGGATTAATAGCAAAGTTAGTTGTAATTTCAGTCATTAATTTTTTGTAGTATTAGAGATTGAGCTGAGGGACTCACTCTGGTTAGGCAAGTGCTCTATCACTGAGACACACCCCACGCCCTCTTGGGGGATTCTAGGCAAGGGCTCTACCTCTGAGCCACACCCACAACTAGTCATTAACACTTATTAAACACCCAGAATGCCCAAGATACTGTGGTCAACACGGGAGCAAACATAAACTCATAAGCAAATGCGAGGTTCTTATGGCGTTCACCCTAGTTGGAGGAAACAGAC